ATTTTTTTTTTTCGAACATTAGGTAATTGATATAGGGGAAGGAGAAGGAGATTGAATCCCACACCCTTGAGTGAAAAACCTCTAACGATATTAAAGTGGTCACTTGAGCTACCGTGGTTTCTTTATATATTTTATATTCAAATAAAACAAATTTTGAGTTAAAAATTTAAAAAACAAAAAGAGAAATGTTACTTGTTAAAGGGGAAGCTTGTTATTTTCAAATATTTTATTATTTTAAAATATTAAAATATTGAATGTAAGTTTGTTTCATACAGAAAACATTTTTCATTTTAGACCTCCTCTCATGCTCATGTAACCGGTTGTAAATGCTCTTATCTTGAATTTGCATCTTGTGTTCATATTTGCACCTTTTTCTTCTTTTTTTTTTTGAAAATAGGTAATGATATTTGCACTTTTTTCATCTCTGCAGTTTGGGTTGAAAGGGAAATCTCCCATTTTACCTGCTTAACACTTTTAGCCAAACCCAAAATATTTCCCCCTGTATATATACTCAGAATAGCTACATTCTTTCCTTCTTTTTCTCATTTCTTTTTGAGTCAAACAAAGATGTTCATGGGAAAACACAAAAAGGAATAAGCTAGCTCTTAAATCGGATACCTAAATATGAACAAACCAACTGCCTGCCGCTCAGAGACAATGAGTAATTAATTCATCAGATTTTCAGTTGAGGATTACAGCCAATGAAGAGATTTAGTAACGGTAGAACAAAGTACAACACCATTTTTCCTTTTAAAATATGAAACAAAATTTTCCAAGCCAAGTTTTTTGGCATCCAGAAGAAAACACGAGATGCCTAAAGAGAGAGATGCCTAAACAAGCTCAGAAACCAGCTTAGTGAGATACAACATGGAGCTAATTGATCGATTTCAGTGCAGCGGCTAGTCCTCATCCATTCCTGCGGGTTGCTCTCTCTTCGGACCACCAGCTGGTTTTGCCATTATAATCTGCATTTTGAACACCAGAAATCATCATCTAATTCACGTTAAAAGATTTTC